ATCTCTAAATTATTAGAAAATATTAATTTTATTTTGATTTTATTAGTTTCTTCTCTATGTACAGAAAAGCATTAGCTATTGCATTATTTTTTGTCCATTCTCTCTTCTTCGGAAAACTCTTCAACTTATATTCTCATACGCATTTTCATTTCAGTAGAAATTAACTTTAATTCTAAATTCTGTGGATGATGGGGCATAATACATACAAAGAAGATTGAGATCAATTGGTGGTGCCAACTTGCCTCTAGTTGAGTCATCCTCCATGTTTGTTGGTGGAATTGAGATAATGGTTTAAATCGATGTTTTTGTTTATCATCGTTTTTGTTTCTGTGTATTTTTATTGTTTGTGGTGCCTTTTGTGGTTCATGGTTATTGTTTGGTGGTTGCCTAATTAGAACTATGGAAGAAATTATTGGTTATTTATTATTAAAAAAAAAAAAAAATTTGTCAAATGATGTTATTGTGTGCAAAGGGTTTGAAGAGAAACAAGGACAATATATCAACACCTGAGGCTCTTTTGATTATGGTAATCAAATAGAACGAAAAACACATGTGCTCAGTACCTAGTGTAGTATAAGGATATTACTGGATGGGTGAATGAGTCCCATATCCCGAATCATCAAATGCTCTAAATATAATATAAGGAATCAATATAAGGTAATAATGGGTGTATCTGGCCGTATTAAACAAACATTGCCTATCTGGAGTAAGGGTGGAAGCACCTGCGTCTCTTGGCCTTCTCCCTCCCTTTGTTTTTTCTATTTCATTTGTTACTTAGTAATGCCATACAATGTCTATTTCACTATCCGCCATTGATTAATGACATAATTCAATGACCAAATCAGTTATATTCAATCCTTTCTTAATTCATAACTATTGATTTTCAATGATTTCTCGTGATAAAGAGAGATCTAAGTTTGGTGTAATCGGTGAGTAGGTGTTGTCACGAATCTGCACGACTGGCTTTTCAGCACATTTAGGGGGTTTATAAATAAAGGTGGGTGTTGAGTCTTCTAGAATGGCATTAGATTATTCTTCATTACAGATTTCTGCTCCGGGATTTCTCATATGATTTGAATGTGATTTCCTTCACCTCCCACCTATTGGTTTGTCAAAAACGAATTTAAATGCGAGTGATTTTGTTGGTGGTCATTAGATCTCACATTTGAAAAGCATTGTGGATAGTTGCTTCTAACGGTGTGGTCATTGGTTGGCTCTCTCATGTTAAATTATTTATTTATTTATTTTTGGGTTAGCTGGATGATTCTTTTGGTATCAAAATGTTCATTTGAGTTTTTATTTGAAGGAATTTAAACCGATAAGCGAAAGGGTTCCAGTTAGTGATACTTATAATTCAATACATTTTATTTATTGGAAAGTTATCCCATTCTAACTTGCTATAGTGTATAGATGTGCCATTTTGACGTGGATAAAAATCTAAAATTTGCTATTTAGACTTTAAGTTTAGCAAATATTTCTAGATTCTTTGCATATGCTACATTCAAATATATAATTCATTTTTTGGACTTTCATTTTGAAATTTGCTATTTGAAATTTATAAATGCTTTCGCTAATTCAATGTGTAGAAGCAATTTCAGTTTCTTATTTGTGAAGTTTTAAGTCGGAGTGATATTACCATTTTGAATTGATTTATTACCATTGAGTTTTATAGCACGTGATACCAAAAAAATTGTTGAAAGTGCCTTCAGGCACGGGTCATCCCTAGCGCTTATCGAAAAATGGCTCTCAAGTACCTTTTCCCCCCCTCTATTTTCTAATGATTGGTTTGGTTTTGTATTCAAAGTTGAAATTTTTGTCTAGGTTAGGATTTTTTTTTTTTTGTTATGACATTGCATAGATCAGTGTTGAGAATTATTTAACAATTTTTGAGATCTTCACATTGTAGCTGATTCTGAAACGTTGGCACATTTTCAAATTTAGTTTTCCCTCTTTTTGGAAAAAGAAGAAACTTTGAAGGATGAATTTACAATACTAACCTGTATCGTTCGACATTGTTTTGGTTTCCAAATGAAGAACAAAGTTGCCCTTTTTTTTTTATTGGGATAAATAATAAGAACAAATTTTATTTGGGTCAGTTGGGTTTTTTTGTTTGTTTCCTCGGGTCCTAGATGATGTAAAAACTTGAGATTTGAATTTTTTTTCCCTTACCCTTTTGATAACAACTAAATGGAATCTAGATGGAAAATGATTTGGTGTCATGGTGGCTGTTCATTGTAGTAACCTTCAATTTGTTGAATCTGTCTGTCTTTGTTCAATGTCTAGATTAAGTTTTGTTTCTAGAAGTCAAAAAAGATTATAGACAAATATAAATGCCCAAGCGATGTTTTGTTCTATTCAGTTATCTGCTCATAATATCAAGTATCAATTCTGGGTTTTTCAAGTAGCAAACCAATTGACCCGAAAATTCTTGGTGGAAACAAAGAAATCGGTTCAACAAGCCAGTTCATGGTTTATTGTTTGGTGGTTGCCTAATTAGAACTATGGCAGAAATTATTGGTTTATTTATTTATTTTTTTAAAAAAAAAAATTTGTCAAATGATGTTTTTATTGTGTGCAAAGGGTTTGAAGAGAACAATGACAATAATCAACACTGATTGTTTCTCTTTTTGATTATTTGTTTTTATTGACTGATTAATAACACATTTTGTATAATAGTTAGTATAGAGTATATTCTGTGGATTGGGGCATAGATACATGCAAAAAAGATTTTAGATCAAGTGATGGAGCTAACTTGCTCTGGTTGAGTCATCCTCCATGTGGTCTGTTTTGTTTGCAGAAATGATCATGTAAATTTACCTTAGATTTTGTATACTCCAAGGTTTGCTAGATCACAAATTGGGCTACATAGTATATGATAATTGGGCTACATAGTCTTGGGTGTAAGACTCTTAAAACAGATAACTGTTTTTGTAAAAAAAACCAGTCAATAACAATAAAAAGAGGAAAAGTGGTATACTTTGGATTAGGATAAGAGATCAAAACAAGCCTCAAATCCAAAGATTTCTATCACCATTTCTTGAAATGTTTATTCTTTGTACAACAGTGTCATTTTTTGGGTGAGTATGTACAACAGTCTCATGTCTGACTTTTTCAGCATTTCATTTGAAGGGTCAATTTTTGTGATTTTGTGCATATGGAATTGGTTTTTTGAAATGGGTTTGATATCTGAAATCTGAAAATGGGTTTGATTTCATCTTGATTCTATTGCATTTCAAACTCAACCCATTTGTTTGAATGTGATATATATAGATATAGATATAGATATCTATATATCTATATAATATGGCACAAGGGTTTTTGAAAATGTCATAAAATGTCTAAGAGATACATTTTGTATCAATGTATAAAATGTGTGTGAGATACATTTCAATTCAATGGCTAAGATTAATTCCAAGTTTATGTCAAAGGTTCAGATGAATAGATCTCCCGCCCAAGACTTCTCTCCACCTACCCACGTCTGCCTCCCCACCTTCCCTTTCTATCTCTCTCTCCCTCTCCCTCTCTGTTCTTGAATACATCTCTCTTTCACAGATATATCTCTCTCTTCCTCCTATCTCTTTCATACGCTACTCTCTCTTCTCTTGCGATGACCACCGACCACCTCTCCTCTCCCTCGCCGGAGACCCAAACTCGAACCCTCTATTCCTGTCTTCCTCCCTTCATCTCCCGCTCCTTCACCCCTCTTTCCCCATTTTAGGCCTTTGTTTTGCAACAAACCCATACCTTTTTCGATTCAGTGAGAGGAGAGAAAGAGGAGGGCATCGTCGTCCCGTCCCACCGACGCCGACGCCCTACCCCGCCGTCCCCGACAAGAAGGTTTGAAATACATGAGGTAAATCTAGATTCAGTTTTGGAACTAAATCTAGATTCAGTTTTAGAACTAAATCTAGATTCAGTTTATTAGATTTCTTAGACATGGATTTCTTATGCTACTACTATTATCAGATTCAATCTACTACTATTATCTTTTAATTACTATTATCTTGATTAGGAATCTAATAAATCAGATTGGATTTCTTATGCTACTACGCTAGATTGGATTTCACGGTTCAGTAATTAAAAGATTTCTTAGATTCCTAACCTGATTTATTAGATTCACAACTCCAAGACATGGATTTCTTATGCTACTACTATTATCAGATTCAATCAATTACTTTTATCTTTTAATTACTATTATCTTGATTAGGAATCTAATAAATCAGATTGGATTTCTTATGCTACTACGCTAGATTGGATTTCACGGTTCAGTAATTAAAAGATTTCTTAGATTCCTAACCTGATTTATTAGATTCACAACTCCAAGACATGGATTTCTTATGCTACTACTATTATCTTTTAATTTATAGATTCTGTATAGTTCATTCCGCAGTTTACTTCCCTTGCCTGGGAAGTGGGTTCAATCTGTGACTACTATTATTATGGCTTATCATGATAGTAGCATAATAAGCTGTGGAATGATAGTGGGTTCAATCTGTGGAATGATAATAGTGGGTTCAATCTGTGACTACTATAATAGTAGTAGCTAAAACAGAGCATAATAATAGTAGCATCAAAGAAGATAGAGAGCATAAAAAATGGCTTATCAAAGATTCATGACTACAACCAATTTGAATCATAGTAATAAAATTTATAAATTCTTCATTGATCAATTAAGGCCGAAATACAATTGATGTGTATAGTTCATTCCACAGTTTACTTCCCTTGCCTGCAGTTCTAGAGGCTAGAGAGCATCAGCTTGATTATCACTTTTGAAAGTGCTTTATGTTAGAGCCCTGTTTTGACCTCTATTATACATTAACTCAAGTATCACTAGATTGTTCTGATTGCCAAACTTTTGATTGTGCTTTATGACAATTTTTTTCTTCTGATCTTAGTTTAAAACAGTTTGTCGTGGTATTGTCATGTAGTATTCTAAACCAATCACCAAATGCCCTTCCTTCATGTTGATAGGCAAACACTAACATAAATATATTAGAACCAAAAAAAGAAAGGAAAGAAAAGATTTACAAAATTGTAAAATCTTAATGTAAACCACAATAACTTGCTATTTTTAATGGACAAAATAACTTGGGGGACCCCATGAAAGTTTTACTTACAGACTGCAAATCTGATTTATGAAAAAACAAAACGAACAATATAAGATTGACATTTACAATTTTTAGTCATGATTTCTTCCTATGTGGGTGAATGTCAGTTGTGTGTACCCTATGAAGAGCAGTTCCAATTTCTGATATATACTACCAACAAAATATCTCCTTAGTTTTTTTTTAAATTAAATTAATGTTTATGTATTGCATTGTAGGGATCTCTCTTTCAACAACCTTACCAGTGATCTTCCCAGTTCATTTATTGCATTGACCAATATTTCTACTCTGTGAGTGTAATGAAGTGCTAATTTATAGTTGATATTTTATTTTTTGGGTTCAGTTTAGTTTTTTTGAACTTCTGCTAGTTTCTTGATTTTTGGCAATCATGTGCAGAACAACCAATTAACTGGTTCTCTTAATGTTCTGGCTAATTTACCTTTGACAGATTTGTAAGTTCATTCCCTAACTCTAGGCCTTGAATTTTATATTTCTCACTGGCCCTATTATTCTCATGCCTTGAATTTTCCATAGAAATGTTGCAAACAACCATTTCAGCGGGTGGATACCAAGAGAGCTTATTTCTATCCCTAGATTTATGTAAGTGATGCATGCAATATAATATCATGCCTGTTTGTGTTATATTTTAGGACTTCTCCAATATGTCTAATCTAGCATTTTAAATAAACAGATATGACAGAAATTCATTTGATAATGGTCCTGCTCCTCCTTCACCACCATATACCTCGCCTCCCCCAGGTAGACCACATAATAATCGAAGTCATTCTCCTCCAAGGGCAGATTCACCACAGGGATCTGGTGGTCAATCGTCCAATCCAGACAATGGAAATAAAAAGGCACTAGCAGCTGGTCTGATTATAGGCATAGCTCTAGGTTCTTCATTGGTGGTCTTCTTTGCAATGCTTGTGATTGTGTTTTGCCTCTGAAAGGGTAAAAGGAAGGAACCCACTGCTGCTAGAACTTTTCAGGAAGTCTCCCTGTTAGCACAGATAAAGGTATGTCCTTTTCCCGATTAAAAGAAAGAAAGAAAGGAAGGCTAAGACCTGCTTTGGTTAGTTCTTTTTATTAATTTGTTTATATCAAAAGTTCTTTCTATTTATTTAATATCATAATTAACTTTAGGTTAAGTGTTTGAAATGTCTTCCAATTGTTTGGAAATTTAATGATAGCAACTTATTCCTTTTTGAAGTCTTTACACATATTATAACATCAGTTTTTGCTTATGAATTATTCAGTTGCACATTGCTCTAGATGTTCATATCAAGGTATAAATGTCCTAAAAGTATGATGCCATTTATAATACTGATTAAGCTATCTTTTAATACCCTCCTACTTTCTAAGCCATTTTGTTTTTTAAATGTTCCATTCTTGATCTGAATCTATCCACTCCAAAGTCGCATGCTCACTCACACCCTCATTGACCCCAATCTACTTAGGCCAGCCTCCATTTCGTGGTCATGGGTATTGTTAGATGCCTTCTTCAGGATCAAGTTCATGGTCATATGCCTAGGCCGCTTATTGTTAGAAAGTAGATTGTTGATGTCCACCAATAGTTGTTGAAAGTTTAACTAATACCATTGGAAGGATTAATGACAGAATTTCATGATTGGGCTCATGACAAAAGTGCTTTGTCATTCTAGAAGGAAAAAAGAAAAAGAAAAAAAGAAACAACAATATGTTGGAAGAATCATGTGTACACTAAAAGTTGTTAGACGGTGTCTTGAATGTGATTGATTTATATTGTGGGGTCTATCATATTTATGTTGGTGTTTTGCTTAACAATATGGAAAGTAATAGTTGGTGATTGATGTGGGACAGCACATGGCCATGCCACGTGATAACTTATTTGTACCCAATTTTTTCCCCTCCAATAGGAAAAATTGTTATATGCAGGAAGGGTACCACGTGGTATTGTCATGTAGTATTCTAAACCAATCACCAAATGCCCTTCCTTCATGTTGATAGGCAAACACTAACATAAATATAATAGACCCTCCATGTAAACCAAGCGCAACAGTGAGCACCATGTGAGAACACCCTTTTGCTTATCCAATAACTCCTCCAATAGAGATGCTATATGCGATAATAAATGGTGATACATCTTTTATAATTTGTAAAAGATCTCAGATTGTTTAGATTGAAAACATGCAAATAGTTTAAATTGAAAATAAATCAGAAATTTAATATTTAAATTTATAAAATTAAAAACTCGATAGTTTATTTTGTTACAAGTATTAAATTTTAAGTTTTTTTTTTTTTTTGGTTAATTTTTCCTAAATTTTAATGATACCTACAATTATTCAAACAAAATTGGCTTATGTGTGGTGGCGCAGCATACACTGTTTCTAATATATTCATGTTTCCCATGATTAATTAATGTTGAGGATGCATTAAATTAATTAATTAATTGACATTATACGTAGAAATTATAATTACATTTTAATCCCAGCATTATTTACACCGAACATTATTTACGCCGTGCCTTCAGGTACGGGCATACGCTAGTACTAAAATATTTTGAAAAGATTATACATTTATTATATATGTTTTAGGTAAGATATACAAATTTTAAATTTTTTAAAATATATTTTAAATACACATGTTAGCAAGTATGACGTAATCCTCATCTTAACAGGTCAAATCCACTATAAGAATTGCAACAATGATACATTTCTTAATTTTGAAATTTTAATTAAACTCTAATTAGGAGTGGGCGCGGATTGATTGTAATCACGAAACTTTCAATCCGTCATCTGTCCGCTAGATTAGCGGATTGGAAAAAAAATAATCCGCATCCGCCAACCAATCCGGCAGATGTGGATTGGTAGATTGGCAAATGGATGCAAATCAGTTTTGTGGTTTAAAATTTTATAAATTTTCAACATAATCCAACTTGTGCACTTCTTCAAAAAAAATGTATATATATTACAGTCAATGACTTAAAAAAATATTACAATCACTGCATGGCTCATTCAAAGAAAAAAAGTTTGAAACTTTAAAATATTATGATCATTGCATGCCTCATCCACATAAAGTATTACAATCTGTGATTCTTAAAATATAAAAACAATTCAAACCACCTAAACCATGAACAGAGTAGTCGTAGAGATTGTATACCTCTGTATTGTTACATCTATATTTGTTTTTGAAAACAAAAACCAACCAGCATATATCATCTTTTTTATTTATTATTTTTAGAGTTAGATTTAAACACCAAAATATATAGATAAATAATACATTTATTTTTTTTCAATTCAAAAAATATATTCAAGTTGAAAATTCCTTTTCAACAGAATATTTAAACTATTTTTCAATTGAAAACACAAACAAAATATCTAAACAAATTGAAAATACAAAGTCTTACAAATTATTAGGAGTGCTCGCGGTTTGGCGGTTCGGTTGCAGCCAAAGGAACTTCAAATCCGCCATCCGTCCAAAGTTAGGCGGATTAGAAAAAATCAATCTGCAACTATCTACTCGTCATCATGCATCCATTTAAAATGCGGCGGATCAGTTCGATTCGGTTGGTTTGGGCGAATCGATATATCCGCTGCTCTCCCTTAACTCTAATGATGTGAAAATTTAAATAAAAAAAAAAAAAAAAATGTCAAAACATCACATCAATAGGTGGAGCCTATCCCTAGAACTCCTTTAGAGCTCATATTTTAGAACTCCCAAATATTTTTCTAAGGATTGTGCCTTAATTAACATATTTATTAACACAATTATTAATGTTCCTAACATCACTAAAAAAGAATTCAACTACAAACACCGACTAAATCAGTTTTTTTTATTTTAATTTTTTTTATCGTGAAAAAAAATGTAGAATGTTTGATGTCGAAATTCTCTGTGGCTTCAGCGTGGAACGGTGACTTCATTATTTTTTGAAGGGTAAATAGCAACGATCTCTCCCCAGATTTAGAAAGAAGAAAAAAAAATATAATAAATTTCTATATGTTGGCTTTTTAGCACTTCAAGAGATAAAATGTGATTTTGTGTGCCAGTACGGAACAAGAAAATCATTATAGATATTTATAAGTTAAATTACTTATCATGCGATTGTGAATAGGTTATTTTAGTCTCAATAAAAAAGATTTTTATTAGTTGTGTTTTTAGTAAGAACCAATGTGATGTTACTTGAATTTCAAAGCAAAATGAGGGAAAGAAACTGAACAGAAAATATGTAATTGATTAATTGAATAATACAATTATAAAATGTTACTTTGAATAAGAGTAATTTCAAAAAAAGAAATCTGAAATTATAAAGAGTACTTTAATCTACTCCTATGAAACGTAACTGCAATGCTTGAACATAAATTAATTGAAATGACAAAGACGTTGAGTTTGAATTTGTTCGGAGCTCCTTCATCTTTATCTTCATCTATTTATAGTCTTTTTTGACCTTCGAAGCAGTTAAGCTGAATTTCCTTCCACGATCTCCTTTCTTTTAGTTGTACGCTTATATGACTGCTAGTAACTACCATCCCATGACGTCTTGATCTTGTGCTCTTCACCTGCTCAATTAATCACGGGTTGCTTCTAACTGTTGGACTTTGCACTTGCTGCTCACGTGATCTACCTCGAAGGTGGGCTCTTAAATACTTCATGCGCTTTCTTGTCATTGGTTGCTCTAAATTTGTTCTTATCACCTTTAATTGGATGGTTTGAATATGACGTCAACAATTTCATAATTATAACATAATTCCATTAAATTTTTTTAGATTATATAATACTTAGTCATTTTTCATTAATAATTTATTAATTATATGAATAAAAAATACTATTATTATATTTTATATTTAGAGATTTTTGTAGTTTGAAATTTAACTATAAGAATTATAGAATAGGAGAAGAAAGGATTAAAAGATTTGCAAACTTGACATGTTACGATTTCATATTAGAGTGATGTAACTTTTAAAGGTAAGTTACATTAAAAAAAAATTCAATTATCAACAAATATTACTTTATCTCCTCAATTATGAATTCATATATTTTTACAAACTCAATTATAAAAAATAAAAATAAAATGTATAAAAGTCTTCATTTTGAAAAGATGAAAGTAATCAGTGTGTTTGGTTTGAGTTTTTTAGATTAAGTTTTTGAAAAATTGAGTTTTTTTGTTTTCATATTTTTTTGTTTTTAGTGAATATTTTTAAAATTTTAAACATTTTTTTTACTTTTTTAGATGCACCTTACTTAGATGTATCTAAAAAATAAAAAATTTGTGAAAAAATATTTTAAAAAATTAATAAATACATAAAAATACAAAATATGTATTGAATTGTTGTATTTTTTTGTATTTTTGGCATTTAGTGAATTTTTAAAAAAAAATTTACAATTTTTTTACTTTTTAGGTGTATTTATGTTAGATGTGTCTAAAAAGTAAAAAAATTACTTAAAATATTTAAAAAATTCAGTTAAAACAAAAAAATATGAAAAATAAGAAAGTAAAATTTTCTGAAAAGTGTTTTTTCAAAAATAGAAACAAGCAAGTTGAATGTAATTTTATAATGAAAAGAGTCAAAATGTCCAAGATCAAATACCTAATAAATAAATAAATAAATAAAAAGTGATATTTGTTAATTTGGTCGAATGTGCGTACACAGAAGGAAATAAAAAAAAAATTCATTTCAACAATGCGCAAGTTCCGTTGTAGTCTAGTTGGTCAGGATATTCGGCTCTCACCCGAAAGACCCGGGTTCAAGTCCCGGCAACGGAAATATGTTTTAATTATTGGGGATAGTTTTGGGAAAAATTGAGTTTATTTAGTTGGTGTAAAAATTAAAAAAATTACTCATCATTTTCACAGTCTTTTCTTTTTTTGAGTAAAAATAATTTTTTTTTGAGTAAAAGTAATTTTTTTTAATTTAAAAATATCTTTTACGGGTTTATTTTTAGCAA